CTTGGGACGAACAAGAAAAAGCAGCGCAAACCGAGAAAGTGAGCCCATGGGAAGTCAAGAACATTACTCCCCCGAACCCACACTTCTTCCCACCAGAATTCCCTTCGGCTAAGAAGCTCAAAGCCTTGCCAGATGCAAATTCAATAGAACCGTGTGATCATTATTATCCCAACAGAACATTCACCAAACATCTCATCGACTGCACAGAGCCTCCTCGTGATGAAATCGACCCAAAGTTACTTAATCGACATTCGGGAAGTTCTTCTTCAACAGCTCGGGGGAGCTCGTTTCGGTTGTTCGGCAAGACCATTCAAACGGCCGAGCCTGACGAAGGGGGCTCGGAAAGCAATGTTGTAAGCTGCACGGATTGCGAAACGAAACATAGTTGACTTTGAGCTTTATGTGTTGGTTTGGTTAGACAAATTTATGAGTCGAGTATGGATTAGTCTTTGCTTTTTATAATTTTTTTTCTGCTGCAAGAGAAAGGCATGGCTAGCAAAGAGTTTTGCTTCATTTTTTTTCACCAAATTTTAGTGACCCTTTCAAATGTTGGATAGGTTGAACTGTTTTTGTGATTCTGATGTAAGTAACTAATGAGGATTCATTTTTGAAATTGTCGGTTAGAACGTCGATCGAATCTCTGGGCGTCTGTTTCATGCATTAAGGCAAAGACATTGTCTATTTTCAGAAGTCATTAAGCAATGAGTGAATGTAAGGATGCACAATTTGGTACAAAAAAGAAAGCAGCTTTAAATGCTATATTCACCTTGACATATCAGATTTCAGATTTAATGGATTGAGAACCTAATTAAGTTTCGCATTTCAGATTATAAAAGCTCCCAATTTTAAACCACTCAGAACTCCATTACAATTTTTAACGTAGTGAAACATCATCAGGAGCTGGTTTTCTCTTTGGTTTTAGTTTCCTCACCAACACAAATAGTATAATGGCTGTCAATATGATAACTGAAACGAGTGGATGCAATATATACTTCATCTGCCGGGCAATTTTCTTTCGTCTGGATTTTTCACGATTATTCCCAGTGCAAGGAGGCACTTGGAATTTGGGATCTCCCCGAAGAGCACGGGTGTGGAGAAAAGATTGAGCAGTGAAGTTAACAAAAGAGCCAGGATCTGAAGCTCTCTGCAGTTTCACATAGATATGAAGCGAAAATGATGGAACGTATTGTTCGAAGGTGCGGTTCACACCAATTTCGAATTCTGTCAACGTAGTTCATGCACATTGCACTTAAAATTTGAATCTCATTATTGCAGTTTAAATTTGCACTTAGAACCAAATCCAAACACAAACTGATTGTAACTTAGAGCATCTACGATGGTTTGTGGAATTGCTCTATTTCGTTGCCATATGAACCGAAATTTTATGTCGCGTCGATATGGTCCATAAGTCTTTCCAGCCATAGAAGTGCTTCTAAATACTTTTTTTATTATATATTATATATGAGAATGACAGTCGAACCATTTCGTCGGGAGTTTTTATTATTCATTTAATTTTTCTTTCTTCTCTAATCAATTACAAATCTTACACATGTCAAATTATACCACAAATAACTATCGGGATAGTTGATATAACGATTACAAACCCGATAAAATGATTCCGTAACGGGACCGTAGTATTTTCCCACGTATTTTCTTTATTTCTTTTTTCCATGCTATGCATAAATGGACAATGTGGCATTGGATTGTAGATGCTTTTTGACTGCATCATAGGCGAAATTCAAATGGATATACGGCCCAACAGAAATTCCACCGGCGGCCCAAATGCTTCCTGAAATCCTGCAAACCATCGAGATCTTGTTCAATATTTTCTTTACTCCACCTGCTTCGTACACTGCTTGTCGCTACTATGCGCATATGCTTCTATTCACACCTTTTAAGCTATCCTGCAAATGTAAATAGAATCACTCGTTTAATTGCAGGTATCAGTAAAAGAAACCATTTTTATGCCTTGTTCTATGGTGGCCTGTCGTTCCGTGAGTAAAAATTAGTTTCATGGCCAGTGGGTTTTATGGGCCTTGCTTTTTTCATGCGACTCTGTGTATTTCTTAAGCTTAAAGATTCAATTTTTGGGATTGTTTCTTTTTTTTTTTTTTCTGTTTTTTGATGATATGGGGTTTTTTTAAAATCATGGAGTTTTTGTGAAGTTTGATTCACCAGCAATTCTGATGTGTATTGATTCTATTGAGTAATTCTGATGTGAAGATATCTGTTATTCATAGATTAGATCTATTCTTAGGGCTTGTCCATGAGGTAAATCAGCCTACTTACCTGCAAGATTCCTATTACCTTCGGAAGTTAATGATTCTGAGATAGATACAAATGTACATAGAATTTGGAAGCCCAAATAGTTGGTGTAGCTAATGTTTGGTTATAAGATATGCTACGTAATCCCTGTTCCGGAAACTGATAATCGCAGATGGTGAAAGTTCGGTAGCTTAAAGAATCGCTAACTTAAGCTCTGAGCCGTGTAGCTCTTTTGTTTGCCCTGTTCGGTTATAAGATATGCTGCGTAATCCCTGTTCTGGAAACTGATAATCGCAGATGGTGAAAGTTCGGTAGCTTAAAGAATCACTAACTTAAGCTCTGAGCCGAGTAGCTCTTTTGTTTGCCCTGTTCTCTTGATAACTTTCACATGAAGTGCTGTTTGAGATGGTGTTTTGATGTTAAGTCAAAAAATTGAGGCAATACCTGTTAAGTTATTAGGATGAGAAAAAATTTGAAGTGCTGTCTAAGTTGTGTGTGTGAGATTAATTTTATATGCTTTGCCATAGGCACATATATGTATATATAGTCCATACTGTTGTTCTCGTCTTGAAATGGAGTGAAAATCGTCAACGTTGGATTTGCGTACATGCCATGGATATGAATTGTTTATGCAACTTGCCCGAAAGTGAAATATCCTTGTGAAGTTAAGTGAGCCGCGATTCTAGCCAAGATTGGTAGATGAAGAATGTGATGATGTTGAGTATAATGTACAAACCGCGTAGCATGTGTTATCTTTGTCCAAATCTGATCTGACTTTTAAAATTTGAGCTGTGTACACGGTTTTGCTTTCGATTGAGTTTTTATCATAATACTTTTCTTTTATAGCATTTTCTTTACTCCATGATTAAGAAACATTTGTTTTTGCCCTTTTTTGTGGAGTTTCTTTATACAAGCGAATCCCTTTAATCCCGGCAGCCATGAATTTCGAAACAAGTTTTCCTTTTGCTGTTGTATTATATTATACTGCCTGTCGCAATCTTTAGGTCTTAAAACCCAAAAAGAACGGGTAGAAAATGGCACCTAAGAATAGAATATATTCCTGAAACTTTGTGCGCGTGTTGTTTTCTTGTGTATGTTCTGCATTCTGTTTTGTCATTCTCAGGTGACCAATATTTGAAGCAACACAAAGTCAACAGCGCACGAGCCGCGAACAGGTTCCTTTTTTTGACTCTTTTGACTTATGAAAACTATAAAGTCTTCACTTGATTGTGACTAACAATAGTAATTTTGTATCAAATTCGATACACGTGTTGGATTCAGAATCGGTTAGTTTCAACACCGATACCGAGCTTTTTGTCGTTGGATCGATACATATACACATACTCACGTACCTTGATCAAACGGTAAAAAAAAAAAAAAAAAAAAA